AAAAGGCGAGGCCATTTGAGGTTTAACCAACCAGCTTAAAAACACTAAATACAAACACATACAAACACAGAGACAAAGCAGAATTCAACCTTACAAATTATTACTAAAAAGAAAATAGAAATCAACTAATAAAAAGTAAATCACCTTAGCCCTGCTTCTGCACTCATTCGGCTGAGTTCCTTTCCAATTTCATCACTGAAATCTGAGCCCCCATCAGCTCGAACTCCCTACACAACAACCAAATAAGATGCCAAGAAGGCAAAGGGTGAGTCACGTCTGCAACCATATCCAGCCATGATACGCACCTTAAAAATGTTTAGGATGTACCAGATCATTACTTCAACATTAACTTCAGCATAAAATATATCTGTTCTACACATGAAGAGAACATTTCATCTAACTAATTAAAGCTCATGGAAAATGTTATTGAACAAATGGCTTATACCAGACACTCCCCATAAAATCCTCGTCCTAAATGAACTCTGAAAATCTTAATCATCAACTTCCTTGCATCAGTAAGCCGCCGATCAAGATGGGTCCTTCCCCTCGCGATCAAGTCTGCAGCGCAGATCCCCATCAACTGTTCATACAAACAGGTTAAGGGACAAAAAAGGAGGGAACCTTAGTTCAGACAGTCAAATTGACAAAAGCGGAGAGAACCAAAATGACATAGTGACTGCAGCTACCCCCTTTTCTAAAATGAAAGTAACATAAGTTGTTAATTTATCTCCTATTAACATACTGTTGACTCCTGTCCAATCAGCGTAGTCAATATACTAGAATACTGGGCTATCCTTTTTTCTACTGTCGTGATATCATTTTACTAATCACTACTTTTACAAATAATTAGAAAATGAGGAGAAAATATCGACAATTGCATCCGGTTAAATTTAAAATAAAGATTCAATTTGTACCTGTTGATACATGCACGAGTTAGTGATGCAATTAAATTTTGAGTGCCACTCTCTTAGCCCAACATTAAATTCTTTAATATCAGGTAAACTCCACCGGCGAAGATCTCCATCTTCAATATACTGGAGCATTTTATCTACCCGCTCACAGTCTTCAAGGCTTAGTAGTCTCATTCTCTCGTCCTAATGGACATAGCATATTTACTAAAGTAAGTTGTGTGTCATACTCAAAACACTTGCTAATTAAGAAAACTTACTTAAATGCTGTGCAGAAAAGTGGAATCAATTGCAGCCAAGAAAACAGGAGAAAATAAACAAGAAAAGAAAAGGTTAAGATATATTGTTCATCACACTCACTTACACTATCTTCTCTTTCCTCTAAAAGTTTAGCAGAGAAGTATTCAAATGCAGCAGTCGAGCTACTCCTCTCAATATTCACATATAATGTGATGTTTGTATCAGAATCTTCCCTTCCAGAAATTCGAGGAAGCACGGATTTCCGATGATCGAAGACAATAACCCTACTTGATGAAATACTCAATTAGCTGCGGAAGCTACATAATATGAAGCAAAATATACTATAATGATTCATTTGTGAAATGTCAAAATGCACCAACTTCGATGATGTTCGCACGGACAGTTCCAATGCAAAGCCTTCTGGGCCTATAAGATCAAGAAAGTAGCATGTCTTCATTCCTTCAATGCATAAGTCGTCAACCCTAAAGAAGCAAGAAGGTCATTACCAGAATCACAGGCATAGCTATTGAGACGGCGAAAAAAAGTACAGAAGTTTCGTTGTCAATTGAGAATGAAGAAAAGACAAAAACTGGAAGCAGATAGAACTCCAATACACTTTTCCTGCACCTTAATCTCTGATAAATTATGTATAAACATACTCCACACATTTGAAAATACGCAAGTACTAAAATATTACTAATTTTCATCAAGCTAGAATTTTCTCAATTTTCTTCGATTCTGCGAACACACTGTACATGAACGAGAATTCAATCGTTCACTTCCATATCGAGCAACCGACATACAATTTTTCCTTCAGCTCTCGAAAAAATGAACGAGCATAACCAAATTAGTCACGCCGTCGAAAAGCGTGCGCGGCGCCCACACACGCACAGTACCTGAAAGGTGCAACTGCTGAGAACGGTAGAATCAAGCATGGTAGGTTTAGTCGAGTGTGGTAGAGGTGCGCAAACAGCGCACCGTAGGCGCCGGAGAACGAGGGATAATTGTATAAGACAAGGTTCGGAGTTTTATTTTCGGACGCCCTGCGTATAGCTTCCAGAGCGGCGTCTGACCGGAATTGATGGACGAAGAGTAGATACTGTGGCGGCAACGTGAAGGCGGGGAGCCGACGGCTGAATAGGGCAGCTAGAGCCATCCACGTCCACGGTATGATGGTGCTGCCACCGGCCGGCGGCGAGATCGAATGTGTTTCTATTTTGCAAACGACCTAGATCCGGCTTAACCCGGCCCGACCCTAAGCACATGGGCAGACTTGGCCGGTTATTTTATTTAAGCAAAATTGTATTTTTTGTTCTGCTGTTTTACCTCTGGCAATGGGGTGTATTTAATTGGGATTTATAAAGACTTTTAAAAACTTTTTAGGACTTTAGAAATTCTGGTGTATTTAATTTAGATTTTTCAAGACTTTTAAAAGTCTTGAGGTATTCAATTAGGATTTTAAGAAGTCTTACGATATCCAGGTGTATTTAACTAATTTAAGGTTAGGATTTATAAGGACTTTTTAAGATTTGCTGGGATTTCTAAAGAAAAAAACATGTAGGAAATCCCACTACAAATCCCACCTTTAGACTTGGTATTTTATAGGATTCTTTTAAAATCTGAAAATCCTCAAAAATCTTAAATCTTAAAAATTCTTTAAATGTCACTCGAATTCTGAAACGAATACACCCCACTTAGTTTTGGGATCGCCATATATTTCTATTTAGTCTTCTAATTTCAAAAGTTAATGCAATTTCAGTCCTTTCGACGCCCAAAAGTCAAAATTATGGTTGGATTTGTCATGTGGCTCGCACGTGACGCTCTCATGCCTGATTTTCTCTGACTTGGCATGCCAAAAGGCAGGCGTGGCAAAGAAACAATTAAAAAATAAAATAAAAAACATAAAAAAAACCACGTAATAATGGAGGGAAAATAAATGGGAAGATAAATCGTTAATTGAGGATCAAAACTCTAATTTTTGCATTTTCCATCGAGGACGCAAAATTGCAAAGATAGGATTCCAGAGAGAAGGTCAATTTCAGAAAGAGAAGGTCATTCCGGAGAGAGGATTGCAGAGAGAAATTCGATTTCAGAGAGACAGGCGATGAGATGAAGGTCGATTGAGAAGGTTGGTTGAACGAACGTGAAGATGGTGAAGTATACGGATTAGGACAAAGGAATATTGGGACGCATACATCCATGTCTACGGTGAGTTTAATGTAATTTTGCCTTTTTCATTAGCACCCTGTTTGTGTTCTTTTTTTTTCTTTTTTTTTTTTGGATAATGACAAATTCTATGTGTTTGTTTGTTTGTGTTGTTATTTTCTTTGTTTGTTTTTTTGGGTTTGTGCTCCGTAGATCGTAATAGTGAGTTCTTTACTGTAACCGTGTGGCGTGGTGGAACATTTCAAAGTGAAGGTTTTGTGTGTTATAAAAGATGGTCTAAAACGACATTTGATTTTGTCCATGTGAGGTCCTTGAAAGAGTCCACATTGAAGAAAATGTCTGACAAATTTAGTGTTGTTGCTAGTAGGAAGTACTTCTTATTGGTGGGTTTTAGTTACAAGCCATTGAGTGATTATGCAGACATTAAAATAAGGGCTTTATGTCATAAATATGGTAGTAGATAAAAGACTTTGTATGCTGAAAATGAAGATACCTTTAGTCCTTCTAGTTTGTCCATGGATGGGGATGGATTAATTTTTATTCTGATTATGAGAGTGGGAGTGAGTCTGACAGTGGAGTGAGTCTGAAAGTGGTTCTGAGAGTGGGAATGGTAGTCAGAGTGAAAAAAAAAGTAAAATTAGAGTGGGAAGGACAGTGATTCTGAGAGTGAAAAAAGTGAAAATGAGAGTGAAAGGTAGTGGTTTCGAGAGTGAAAAAAAAAAGTAAAAATGAGAGTGGAAAGGGCAATGGTTATGGGAGTGGGAAGGGTAGTGATTGTGAGCGTCAAAATAATGACCACGAGAGTGGGATTTTGTTGGTGAGAATTTAGATGTCCAAGAAAATGAAATAAACGTAATGAACCAGAGAGGCAAAAAGATGAGGATGATTTTCTTGATAGTGATTTTGATGTCAGAAATAGTAGCAGTGATGATGATGACGCATTGTTTAGTGAGCATGTGGATACAGGGGCTAGTGGGGAGATGAGAGAGGTTTTAGTAGTGATAGTGATGATGATGTGGTTGAAGTTCCTGCTGATTTAGATGGACTGAGGAACGGTGATGATGATAATGTGGATTTTCCTGCGTTTAATTCTAACCAAGTGTGGGATATTGGGTTCGATATTGGGATGGTATTTGCAACTAAAGAAGAATTCAAAAAAGTCATCCAATCACATTCAATTGAAACCAACAGAAACCTTAAGACGAAGAAAAATGATAAGATAAAAGTGTATGTGAGATGTGCAGATAAAGAGTGTAATTGGAAGATCAACCTCTTGAAAATGAAGGATCAAGCCAGTTTTTAAATTAGGGAATACAACCCCATTCACTCTTGCTCGGAAACTTTTGAGATTAGAAAGATCAAATCAAAGTGGTTAAGTGAAAAGTTCTTAAGCCATTTTTAAACTGATCCTAAAAAAAGTGTTAAAGGCTGTAGACTTTATATTATTAACAACCTTAATGTTAATATATCAAAGGATTAAGCCTATAGGGCTAAGAGAAAGATCTCTGGCACAAATTGAAGGAGAGTCTGATGACGAGTGTTCCCAATTATGGGATTATGCAGAGGAGTTGAGAACTTAAGACCCTGGGTCAATTGTTTTTCTTGCCACTGAGAAGTTTGATGGTGAGGAGAGATTCATCAAATTTTATGTTAATTTTAATGCATTGAGAAAGGGGTTCAAGAATAGGTGTAGGCCAATTGTGTGGGTGTACATGGTTGTCATTTAAAGGGTTCATATAGAGGGATACTCTTGACTGCGGTAGGTGTAGACCCAAACAACACATTGTTTCCTATTGCCTTTGTTGTAGTTGAGTGTTTTGAATTATTGGAGTGGTTTCTCAGCATTCTGAAGAAAGATTTAGACGTTTCTAGGTCTTAACAGTTACCTTCATTTATGATAAGCAGAAGGGGCTTATCAAAGCCTTTGATGTTGTTTTTCTTGGGCCACTCACAGATTCTGTGTGAGGCATCTTCACAACAATTTCTTAAAGGTTGGGTTTAGGGGTTTGGCTTATGAAACCTCTATGGAAAAGTGAAGCGTTCAATGCGTTCAATGCGGTGGTCTGCTTATGAAACCTAAGGGTTTCTCGACCCTTCCGTTGACGGGGCTAGATTTGTGAAGCATGTTTTAAGCCCAATATGATTAACAAATGGACAAAATATTTGAGGTTTTTAAACAAACCACACAATCCTTTAAATCCGGCCCAAAATTTATATTTTGAGTCTAGGCTGAGAAATATTAGTAATATGGTAATCAATGATTCGACAAATTTTATTGTTTAATAATTTATTCTATGCAATTCTTAATGATATACGTACATTAATTGGGACTCAGCAAAACTGTGGAAGGGTCCAAAATATTTATTGAGTGTGGACCCAAAAATAATTTTTTTATAATTTTGAAGTTGATTTATAAATCTCGGCACAATTATTTATTGTTAATGTTTAGCAACCTTTTTTTATTTTTTTTTATTGTTTGAAACTAATTAATATTTCATTATCTTCACAAAAAATTGTTGATTTTAATTAAGAAATTTTAAAATCAATATGTATTTAAGCATGGACATCTTTTTTTTCAAACTGTTGAAAACCTTAATTTTGACATTTTTAAATAAATAGTGGTTGTATATTATCTTTTTTTTTTTAAAAAAATAATATTTACAATTTAACTTCATCGATTTATTATCATAGGTACGTCAACTGTTGTGTCTACTGTAACACCATCGTGCCAAAGACTAGTATTCACTAATAATTCGCATTCAATCGTTCAAAATCTGGCTATTTCTAAACGTTTAGTCTTACTTTTTATATAAAATGGTTGTGTATGTAATTATGTTTTTGTTGTCGGAATTTGTGGTCAATAGGTATACGATTGGTTACTACAAGCTCAACAGCCATGTCCTCGAATGTAGAATTTTAATCATTGCTAGAGCTGGTAATACGGTTCTTATTTTTTGCTCACAATCATATATTTAATTTGAGGGTACCTTTTAAGTTTCAGCGCAAGCAGTTCCCTATGATGGTTTCTTATGATATTACGATCAATAATAGTCAATCAATAAGAGTCAATAACAGTCTATGTCGCACGTCGGCCTACTACTGAATAGCCTTGTTAGTCATGGGCAATTGTATGTGCCGCTTTATAGAGTTACGAGTCAGAGGATTTGAAGATAATGATTTGTAGTGATGGAGATTTTGCTGATACGAAAACCACAAACGTTGTATATAAAGAAATTTTTTATACTCTCTCCATTTTTTAATAAATGTCGTTTTGAAAAGATGCACAGTAATTAAAAATATTTTTTTTGCCAATAATAGCCCTCATTAATGAAGATAGAAGTGGATGTTTTGAGAAAAATGAAGAGTTAATATGAAAAGACTTAGTGTATTTTTTAGTTAAACGAGGGTAATAATGAAAAAGTATGTACAAAAGATCCAAAACGTTCTTTATTTTGTTAATGGTTCATAAAGCCAAAATGACATTTTAAAAAAATAGAGGTAGAAATATTTAATTTTTTTTTCTTAAAACTTTTTTTCTCGATGGTTATTTTATGATTTTTACTATTTTTATTACTTTTTTAGTGCAAATGCACGTGTTAAAACTGACGGGTTTGAATTTGCAAATCTGATTTAGAAATATAAACCTTAAACCTTACATATTTAGGGGGTGATTGGTTATGGATTTAACTAGCTTTTATTTTGTTTGTTTTCTAATTATAATTAATTTATAAGAGAGGTGATATAATTGTTGTTAGTGGATATATTAAAATAATATTTAACTAAAATAATTAAAGTTAATCATAACTAAATTTATAAAGGTGTAAATAATTGGGAGTTTTTATTTTACGTTTTAAACTAGTAATACATGATTATTATTTATGTTTAAATGACACTTATCACTTTATAGTGTTATAACAATTTTTTTAAGTCATATTTTATAATAACTTTTTAAAGTCGTGTTATACAATGAATTTAATAAATTTATTTAAA